ACGGTTTGAGGACTCATATGGCAAAACACGAAAAGAAAAATGATGAAAATCAATGAAATAGTAATAAGTAGAAAACTGATCCAGTATGTGAAATATCGATGAATATATTTATGTTTTGTTATGCCATTGTTATAGGTTTTGTTATTGCCATTATTATTACTATAAATAAATTTATTTCAAAATTTTTTGTCTATTATTTTGATAAAATAAATTGATTCTTAAACATTTTTATTACACTATCTATTGTCAAAAATTATTTTTCATACCAGTATTTGTGTATATTTTGTTGGTATTGGTATTTTGCCTTGAGGCAAGTTACATGAACTTCCCGATATGTGCAAATAATCGACTTGATCAATAAAATATAAATTAATTTATGAATGATTAAAAGTATTTTGAGTGTATTTATCATACATCATTGAAAACGAACGAACACTCTATGGTTATACCAAGTAAATCGTCTAATTTTAATTTTGACAAACGTCAAAAAACCTACTCATTTTCTCAAACTTTAATGAATTTTTAAAATTAAACTACTTGTCGTAAGGCCGTAAATTTTCAGTAAGATCTATAAGACCATGATATATATCGCCAAAAAATGTTCAATAAAAATCGGCTTAATTTTCTTTTCAACAGTTAAGTACAAGAAAACGGCTCGGTAAATTTTCACCTAAAACTAATCAGCATCATTCCCTACTAATATCTTTCGAACAGTTTTTGATTTTTTAAAATCGGTTAGGTAGTATGAGCTTAAATGTGGACGAAAAGTTTAACAGTTTTTCCCGAATTACAAAGAAGCGGCGCAGAACTGATAAATGGTAATCCTCATTGAGATACATAAAATGGCTTTTAAATTTCTGAAATCGGTTCAGTCGGTTTTGAGCAAACGTCAATGAAATTTCTAATTTTAGCAAGTGCCATAAAAATGATACTAATTTTTAAAATTAAACGACTTTTCGTAGGGCCGTGGTATCTACCGTCAAAAAAAAAAATCATAGAAATTGCGAAAAAAAAAATTTAACAGTTTATTTCAAGGAAACGGCCAGGCCGATTATTCGTGGTTTCAATATATTTTCAACTTTCCGAAGGAGAAGTTTGTGTTTTCATAAAAAAATCCGATTAGCTAATTTTATGTTTTATCGACGTTTCAAGCCATTCTGAATCGAATGAAACCAAATTTGGAAAAAGTATGTGTGTGCGTGTATGTGAACAGATTTTTTGCCGTAAATCGACGTTTTCTCAAAAACGGCTAGACCGAGTTCAAAAATTTAAAAGCCACTCGATGTATCTCGATGAGGACTATTGTTCGTCAGTTTTGCGACACGATTAGACAAGCCGTTTCTTTGTCATTTGGAAAAAAAGTGTTAAGCTTTTCGTCCACATTTAAGCTCATACTATCGAATCGATTTTAAAAAATCAAAAAACTGTTCAAAAAATATTAGTTGGGAATGATACTGATTAGTTTTAAGTGAAAATCTACCGACCCGTATTCTCGTTAACTAGCAAAAAAAAATTAAGCCGATTTTCATGGAACTTTTTTTGGCGATATATATCATGGTCTTAAAGAACTTACTGAAATATTACGACCTTACGAGAAGTAGTTTAATTTAAAAAATTCATCGAAGTTTGAGAAAATGTGGTAGTTCTTTTGACGTTTGTTAAAATTAAAATTAGACGATTTACTTGGTATAGCGATAGAGTACTTGGTCATAATGAACAAACTAAACCATTAAAATCATACGGAAACAGGTTCATTTATAAAAATTAATGGTTTTTGAAAATTTGCTTTAAGAAAATACTCCGAGTAAACGTGTTCATTCGTATTCAATTATGTGTAAAAAATCCACTCGAAATACTTTTTAATCACTCATAAATAAATTTATTTTTATTGATTAAGTCGATTATTTACACATATCGGGAAGTTCATGTAATTTGCCTCAAGGCTAAATACCAATACCAACTAGTTCCACTAAAAGGAGGCTAAAACTACAAACAAGACATATAGATTACATAAGACATAATTTATTTTTTCATATTTTCAGAATATAATCTCATAATAATAATAATATAATCTCATACTAATAAATAACCTAATACTGATATTAATGTCTATATTATCTAATTTTGATGTTACAGCTGTACCTATTTTATAATAAAAACATAAATATATCACATCAAGCACAGCGACTTTAACATTTTATGGCTCACAACAATTTTTTACAGTTATTTACATGTTTGTGATTAACCAACCCTTTTTTACTAGAATAAATTTCATCACAAATTTCACATTTATAAGGATACTCTTTTTTATGAGTATTCCTATGACTTTTTAAATGATCCCATTGTCTGAAGGCATAGTCACATTCTTCACATTTGTAAGGACGCTCTCCTGTATGAATACGCATATGCTTGTTTAATGCACCTGACACTGCAAATGTCTTATCGCATATTTTGCATTTATAAGGTCGCTCTCCTGTATGGATACGCATATGAGTTTTTATACCACTTGAACGTGTGAATTTCTTATCGCATAATACACATTTATAGGGATATTCTCCGGTATGAGAACGCATATGATATTTTAAAGAATGTATGCCCATATGTAATCGCAGAGCACTCAATCTTTTGAATGACTTATCGCATATTACACATGTATGAGGACGCTTTTCAGAATCAGCAATCGTATTTTGTTTTAGGTTATAAGACTCTTTAAAGTTCAAAGGTTGTTCTATGGTATTATCACAAATGTGCTGATCTAATAGATAAGTTGTGGTAAATATTTTATTACAGATATTACATACAAAAGGTATTTCACCATCACCATCACTTTCATAAGAGGGTGTCTCAATTAACTCCTGTTTGATTTCTTCTTCAATCGCTACATCAGAATTCATGAATCTTTCCAGACATGCTTCATCACACGATTCAAAATTAACAATACCATCGAGGACATCAAATTCCTTCTCAGTTGCAAGTTTAATGTCTTCTACTGAATATTCGGATGGCTCGATTTTTATTTTCAGATCATTCATAGGCATAGTAGCTTCTTCAGACATTTCTAAATAGTTTCACTGTGCTCATTCAATAAAAAAAGATGAAAATTGTGGCATACTATTTAATCAATAACTTCAACCAATAATAAATTTTCTTAATTATTATAAAATAAACTATAACTTAATTTTTTTTTACAAAATATGAAAAGGTTAGTTGTTAGTCTTTGACATTTGTGATTTGACACCATAGAGGCATAGATAATGTTTTCATAAAGATAAGACACTTACCATCGTTTTAAATTCATATTAATTCTCTATGCTTCAACTGTCAACACAAAATGACGAGAGAAGTTTATGTTTTCATCAAAAAATCCGATTCGCTAATTTTATGTTTTCTCGACGTTTCAAGCCATTCTGAATCGAATGACACAAAATTTGGAAAAAGTATGCGTGTGTGAACAGATTTTTTGACGTAAATCGACGCTTTCTCAAAAACGGCTGGATCGATTTCAAAAATTTAAAAGCCATTTGATGTATCTCGATGAGGACTATTGTTTGTCAGGTTTGTGCTACAATCGGCCAAGCCGTTTCTTTATAGATCGCAGAAGAGTGAAAAATTTTTCGTCTACGTTTTTTCCCGCAATTCTGAATCGATTTTGAAAATTCAAAAACCGTTCGAAAGATATTGCTTGGGAATCGTGCTGATTAGTTTTTGGTAGAGATCGGCCGGGCCGCTTTCTTGTAATAAGGTATTAAGAGAATTTTTTCGTAGATTTTTATTATTATTTTTTTGACGGTAGATACCATAGTCTTCTAGGTCGTACTAAAATATTACGGCCCTACGACAACTCGTTTAGCTTTAAAAATTCGTCAAAGTTTGCAAAAATTAGTATTATTTCTTTGGCATTTGCCAAAATTAGACTTTTCATCGACGTTTGCTCAAAAACGCCTGAACCGATTTCAGAAATTTAAAAACCATTTGATGTATCTCGATGAGGAAGATAGTTTCTTCTAGTTTTGTGTGACGATCAGCCGAGCCGTTTCTTTGTAATTTTGGAAAAAAGTGTTCTTGTAATTAACTGTTGAAAAAAAATTTAAGTCGATTTTCATGAAACTTTTTTTGGCGATATATATCATGATCTTATAGAACTTACTGAAATATTACGGGCTTACGTGCTTACGACAAGTAAGTTTAATTTTAAAAATTCATCAAAGTTTGAGATATGAGTAGTTTTGTTGACGTTTGTTAAAATTAAAATTAGACGATTTACTTGGTATAACGATAGAGTACTTGGTCTTAATGAACATGCTAAACAATCAAAGTCCTACAAAAAACTGGCTTAATTATAAAAATTATTGATTTTTGAAAATTTGCTTTTGAATACTTTTAAGTACTCATAAGTTAATTTATCTATCATGGATTAAGTCGATTATTTACACAAATCGGGAAGTTCATTTAACTTGCCTCAAGGCAAAATACCAATACCAACTAGTTTTTAAAAAAAATTAAAACGCAAATTTTAAATTTTTACTTCTAATTGTAAAATAATTACTATGAGATAAGAAATGATTGTTAGATATTATTCAAAGCGTATAGTAATTCCATATCCTCCGTAATGTGTAAACTTAAGTTTACTTAATTAATAAAAAAAAAACTAGTGGTGTATGGCATCGTGCCTTAACGCAAATTTTGGAACTTCCCGTACCGTAACGAAATATTAAATGTTTTCAAATAGATTATTACAACTATTGTGACTTTTATTATTAGTGTTTTGTAAACAAAATATAAGAGCTTATAAAGTGGACGATAACTTTACATAAAAAGTAAATGAACAAACCTTAATGAAAAGGGAAATCAGAATGAAGGGTCTTCAAGAATTGTTCAGATTGAATTGTTAAATTAAAATTATTTATTTAAAGTATATAAGTGAGTGTTAGAATTTAAGCTAGATTCTGAATCATTTTCTATATTCAAAAAATATATATCTGGAAAAACAATTACAAGCAAAAGGTTCTTTGAATCATTCAAAACAGATGCTTCGTTCTCCCAAAAACTTATTTCTTGCACATTTAGCTCCGTACCTCCGAAACAATTGGACCTGTCTTTGCCAAAGACTAATCACTATCTCTACCCGTTATTACCTATTGTCTTACTTAATGCCTTTTGAATAATTCAAATCGGATGTTCGGTACTCTCAAAATCTCGATGTCTATTTTCTGTACTCTTTGCTCCGCATCTCCGAAACGGCTGGACCTGCCTTCGTCAAATATATACACTACGTACAAATCAGCACATCTCCCTATCAATAGGAATCGAATGTTTTTTGAACCATTCAAATCGGTTGATCCGTGCGCCCGCAAACGTGGACGAAAAATTGTATTCATACATAAAATTTTAAGTGATTATCAGATCTAATACATTTTAATAATCCATATTTTTAACATAAATTATTATAAATGCATATATAGTTCAACTGATACTATCGGTATAATAGTAATAGTATACTATCTATTGATATATTTCAAATGACAATAATCATTAATTTCTATGAAATGTATATTACAGATCCAATATATAACATCAAGATTTTTCACTTAATTATTACCATTACCATTATATGAATATCATTGGTGAATATTTTGGTGCAAAATTAAGATTGTACGTCACAAAATGGCACAATTTCCTTCAAGGACTCGACTATCGATTTAAAACAAACTTACAAAAATCTTTACCACATCAACCATTTGACAAAAGTGTTTAAAAAACGAGTGTACACAAATGTGAAAAATTCATTTAAAAATGCAATAAATATCACATATAAACAAATTGTTATGCGTGTAAATATCAACTATAAAAGGAACGGTATGGATTATTATTCCTCCGATTTTATTTATGTACCTGTATTAAATAGAAATATCGTTTTTATTGGATAGATTTATGAATGGTTATTAAATTTATACTCACAAAATATTTTTTCAAGGAATATAAGAACTCACTTCTAATTGATTTCCAAATGTGAGTATTTTGCCTAGGTAAGAAAATATAGACAGATAATCCTTAGTCATTGACTAATTTGCTATGTGATAATTTTCCTAATTTTACATTAACTTTCCTTTACTTACATTGCCGATTTATATTTATTTAAACTAGCTACGTAAAAAAATATTCTTAATGCAAGAGTTGTTTATTAAATTCGAGTTTCTCAAAAAATAATGTTACTCTTTTGTAAATTTGGATTAATTAACAAATTATTGCTATGAATATAAAGAAGCATTGGATGTTAATTGAGCATCTTTCAAATAAAATACTATTAAATCTAATATAATGTTAATTGCAAGGTAAACTAAGGATTTCCCATACTGACTAGACGAAAACTGTTTGTGTTCAAACATAATCAATAAACACCATAAGCGATTGATTACAGGCCTTGTAAATCAAAAAGATACATATTTATAAGACCGTTCAATGAATATGGGTATGATCATGTATTTGAACTCTAACACAAAACAAAAATATTAAGATACAGTTGCAGAAATGTGAATAATAAGATTAAGTTCCTTAAATGGTGTCATACACACTCACATCCATTTTTTCTGAGGTATGCCAAAATGTTCAGAAACCTTCAAAACGTCGAGAAATGCAAAAATTTTCATTTTCTTCACACACACACACATATATATGTATATATATATATATATATATATATATATATATATATATATATCTTTATTTTATTTTCTTTAAACACACAGTGCACATAATACTTCCAAGCCGACTTTAAAATACATAGAATACAAATAAAATATAACATAGTATAATACATAATACAACAACTTCATGAAATAACATGAAATAAGATAAAATAATAAAACATATTTAAAAAGAAATATAAAGGTTAACTAGAGCAGATGGAGATTATTTAATTTAGTGTAGTGTTATTAATATCAATATCTTCGTTAATTAAGTTGAAGTAATTATTTAAGTTAATTAAGTCGACACTGTAGACCACCATATTCTTTTTCAGCAATTAGAAATATGAGACTTGAGGGTTTGATGCACAACATAATTTAAGACTTCTTATATGAAAGAGAAGTAAGGACCAAAATTGGAAATTGCTTCAGCTATAAAAAAATGGTCAAATGCGGAGTACACAGGGAACAGTCCTAGGACCACTATTATACTTAATATATATTAACAACTTAAAGGATAAACATTTTAGAAGGTAGATACATAGTAGTGTATGCAGATAACACCATAGTTATATACGCTGATAAAGATTTGGAGAAACTAGAAAAAAAATCAATGATGACTTAAAGAAATATACAACATGGCTGACAGAAAATAAACTCACTATGATTACAGATAAAACTAATTATATATTTTTCCGATGTAACAAAATTAAAAAAATAGGCAATATAAAATTATTAATCAACGATACTGAAATAAAAGAAATAGAAAAAACTAAATATTTGGGTATGAATATAAACTAGAAAAGAGTGACTAAATTGAAAAAATCAAACAAAAAATTGCAGCATTTTCTGGAGCCATAAGAAAAATACGACATCTTGGAATTAAGAACAAGGAACTAATATTAAAATCTCATATAATGCCGATTATAACGTACGGCATCACGATTTGGAGTCAAACAACAAATAAAAATATAGAGACACTACAAAGAATGATAAATAAAGCAATAAAATCAACTTACAATTATCCCTACCTCACCCCAACAAAACAACTTCTACAAAAGACAAAGAACATACCACTACACAAAACAATAGAAATAGAAAAATGTATACTAATATTCAAAATAAAAAATAACAAAATCACACAATAGAGACAAACCAGCATATACACGACCATCAAACGAGACAAAACCGAAACTTTCACATGAAATATGTAAAAACTACAAAGGACTTGCAGTCCTCTGGGAAGTGCAAGCAGCCTTTACGATAAACTACTGGACCAACTACAGACAATGACGGACCTAAACAATTTCAAAATTAAATTGAAAAATTACATAAGAGATAAATGAAATAAAATTCCTTATTTTAAATACTAT